GCTGTAGCATATGGTGTCCCTTTGTTAGGCTAGGGAATGCAGAGCTGGACATTCATATAACTGCTCACTGCTGTTAATAGACACCCTGCTTATTCCTATCTAACAGACAGGATTTTTTTTATTTTTTTTTTGGCCAGTGTTTTACTTGAGTCTCAGGGCATGTGCTTGCAGACCAGGTTACGTATGCATAACCATGCTTTGTGTGCCACCAACCAGCTACATGTAGCTTATGGGAACTTTGCTCCCATCAACTGACAATACTCACATGATGTGTTAAGTTAACTGGCTGTTATTACCTGTGCCTGTTATTCTGGTGTTGCAGAACTTTTCAGAGGCAGGTCAGGACAATTTTGATGAGCTCTTACAGAAGTAGAGGTCAGCGCTAGAAGAATGCAAAACAGTTTGAGTTTTTTTGTACGTGAAGTAAAGGACTTCCATAGATCCAAGTGCTCACCTCTTGCACTCTGCTGCTCTGTGCTTTCCAGACAGCAAATTGAGTCTTGACATTTTCAAACTTTTCTCTTGGAGGAGATGGTGGCTTGGTAATATGCCTTTTAACAGCCTTAGATTGGTGTAATGGGGTCTAGGGGTCCACTTCCACTTAACCTTCCAGCTCCCCCACAAGAAACAAATGTTACTGCAAACCTCCCCCGAGACAGGAGAGCTTGACAGAATTCAGCAGTGCTGCACTGTGCATCAGCCCAGAGAGTTGCCTCATGGCAGTGAAGTGCTCTCTGCCTTTTTCCTGAAAGGGCACACTGCTTAATCAGTCATCCTGGAGAGAGAGTCATATGCAGGCTCAAGTCTGATTTTTCCCTACATGGGAGTGCATTGGGCTGCCATTAGATCAGCAACCTCTCCTGGCCAGATTGGTCCCCTAAGGTGAAGTCTGTAGTCATCTGAAGGAATAATTTCTCTCCAGGTGTTACCACATTTAATGTCTCTATGTCATTAGACCTCCTAATAAGACAGCCAAGGTTATAGGCAGTACATACAGGGGAATATGTAACAGTAGTTAGATTGCCCCTCTCCCGCTCCCCCATGAGTATATAGACTAAGTGGCATGGTAAATGTAGACGTAGCCTGAGAAGTTTCAGGTAGATCTGCTTCACCCCCTTCCTTGGAAGTTTCTCATAAGTGTGTCTACCCATTTGACAGCCACCAGCAGATATAATAAGAGGTCACTGCTATGCCCTTTGGAACACTCTCCATGCCTGGATCCTATTGACAGCAGTTCCTTAACTGGCCTCTGGAACAGAAGTAGGCAGCGAACAGATGTGTGGACAGCATCAGTGGCATTACCAGCTACCTATACCAATGAGAGCTTCTTTTGCCCCTTTCTAGTTCTTTTCTCTTGTCCCTCCAGCCAGATACCAGTCTTACATGAGGAGGGGCAGTCCTCAGTAGCAACAGTGACCCCTGCAGCATAAATGTTAGGCCTTTTTTGAGCACCAAAATGAGAAAACAAAGATACCTGGCAAAATGACAACACTGGTTCTTGCTGCTTTGGTTTGAGGTCTCAGAACATCCATTGCAGCAATGGTGGTTGCGCCAGTAAGATCTGACTCCCAATACAAAGTCAGATAGTGGAGCCTGTAATGTTGCACTCCATGTGCTTTATGAAAATATGCTTATAAATGGGAATATGATGTAACTGGAATATGTTTTATGCAAAAGGTCTCTTGTAAGGTATCATTACAAAGCTTATAATCTACTGTGTGTTCATCCTATATGTTTGCCTGTATTATTTTTATGTCTGGAGTTAGGAGAATAAGATATAAACTTGTATTACTAATGTAAACATATTAAGTGAAAGCCATTAAGGGTGCTTCAGAATCAATGAACTGTAAATGGTTCTGTTTACTTGCAAACTTTCCTGTGTACATGTGGACCAGTTCAGGAAGAATGGAGGCTGGGGTCTCACAGGACATGTGACCATGTCACATGATGCTGGAATCCATCTTAAATCTGGTACTTTTCCATTTAGAAGGAGGGGTGGGGACCCAGAGAGACAAAAGATTCTCGCCTTGTGCCAAAGCTATAAAAGGGGGTGGAGCAGGACAAAGAGGCTGCCAGTCATGAGAACACCCCTGCTTTCCACCTAAGATGTCTGCTGGAACTAACAAGGACTGTACCGGGGAAAGGATTGGGCCCAGATTAGGAAGGAGTCTAATCTGTGAAAGAAGCTTATTGGAACATCTGAGGGTGAGATTTTACTTGTAATCAGTTTCTTAATGTATTAGGCTTAGACATGCGTGTTTTTGCTTTATTTTGCTTGGTGACTTACTTTGTTCTGTCTGTTATTACTTGAAACCACATAAATTCTACTTTTTATACTTAATAAAATCACTTTTGTTTATTAATGAACCCAGAGTAAGTGATTAATACCTGGGGGAGCAAACAGCTGTGCATATCTATCAGTGATATAGAGGGCAGACAATTTATGAATTTACCCTGTATAAGCTTTATATAGAATAAAACGGATTTATTTGGGGTTTGGATCCCATTGGGAGCTGGGTGTCTGGGTGCTGGAGATAGGTTATCTGCTGAGCAGTTTTTAGTTAAAGTCTGCAGCTTTGGGGGTGTGGACCAGGCCTGGGTCTGTGTTGCAGCAGGCTAGTGTGTCTGGCTCCACAAGGCAGGGTTCTGGAAGTCCCAAGATGGCAGGGAAAACGGGCTCAGAGGTAATTGCAGCACGTCAGGTGACAGTCCCCAGGGGGTCTCTGTGACCGAACCCATCACAGCCATTTTCTATTTTTGGTTTGCTTATTTCTTACTGCTGACTTAAATTATCTCTAGTGGTTGCCTTCTCTAGCCATTCTTTGCTGCCCTGGCACCTGCATGTGAGGAAAATAAGTCTGATCACAGTAGGTCTTGTTCCTGCCAAGCTGAGCTAACGAGCTTTAGAGTTAGGGTCTAATTCATGCCCTCCAGTGGGAGCAAAGTTGTTCCCTGAATTTTGAAACTTTTAGTTTAGTACTTGTTTATTAGTTTTCCAGTAATTAAGTATCTAGTGTTGTATCTTAGAGGCCTGTGCCTGCTTTCATTGATGCCAATGGTAAATATCCCACTGATTTTCATAGGCTGTAGAGTCAGACTAAGTGCATGAAGTAATCACTTTATTTGGAAGTGTTAGAGCCACTTAGGGGATAAAGTAGACTAGATTCCCCACAGTGTATTTTTGGGGGCATATTTACTTAGGGTTGGGCATTTGATCGTTCTAGAAATAACTAGTCAATTGACAGGTCAGATATTGTCAAAAATGGTCAAATATCTTAAAAGACTAATTCAGTAACTAAGCGTAAGGCTTGGGCTATACTACATACATACTTTGGTATCATGACATCGCTCAGTGGTGTGAAAAATTCACCAAATTTAACCCCATGTAGACAGCGCTATGTTGGTGGGAGAGCTTCTCCCGCCAACGTAGCTACTACCTCTCACAGAGGTGGCGTTATTAAGCCAATGGGAGAGAGATCTCCCATCGGCTTAGAGTGTCTTCACCAGACGTGCTACAGCAGTGCAGCTGTGCCGATGTAAATTTGTAGACTTTATGTTCTCCAGTAGGCTTAGGCTTAGATAAATACTTATGCCTAAGGCTGCGTGTCTGTCACGGAAGTCACAGATTCCATGACTTTCCGTGACCACTGTGACTTCTGCAGTGGCCAGTGCTGGCTCGGGCAGCCCCTGGGCCAGCAGCAGCAGCAGTTTGGGTATATTGGAGGGGGCTCAGGGCTGGGGCAACGGGTTGGGGTGTGGGGCGGCGCTTACCTGGGCGGAGGGGCCAAGGAGCTCCATGTGGTGCCCACACCCGCAGGTGCTTCCCCTGCAGCTCCCATTGGCTGCGGTTCCCAGCCAATGGGAGCTGCGGAGCTGGCACTTGTGGCAGGAGTAGCCCCCCCGGTCGTCCCTCCCCCTAGGAGCTGCAGGAACATGCAGGTCAGAGCCAGGTAGGGAGCCTGCTAGCCCTGCTAACCCTCCCCCTCCAGCACCAGCAGGGGTCCCAGGCCACCCCCGCCAACACCCGTGGTGCCCCCAGACCACCCCCACCCTAAGCACCCGCAGCCCCCCGGCCCAAGTTTTAGTTAGGAGTATATAGTGAAAGTTATGGACAGGTCATGGGCCGTGAACTTTTGTTTACGGCCCATGACTTTTACTAAACATACCTGTGACTAAAAGTAGCCTTACTTATGCCTAATTGCCCCCCCCCCCCCAAAAAAAAGATTTTAATTCAGAAAAATGTGAAACTGTGTTCTAAAAAAATGAAAGAATGGCACCATGGTTCAATCACACCATCACCGCTGTCTACCCTAGGGCACTCTTGCTGGAATATTTGACAGTATTTGGCCCTGGTCAAACAATAGGCAGTCAATTGACTGGTTCGCCCAGCCGATGTTAAGTGAAATTACTTGTGATGTGACTCTCATTCCTTTTCCCGTCACTCATCTTCCTGTAACCAGCTGAAAGGTAGTAATATTAAATTGATTAGGTTATTTATTGGAAACACCAAGTTGTCAGTAAAAAAACAGCTGTGGTTGACTGTAGAAGCTGTTCAAGATAACCAGAAATTCATATGTCTAATAAGATTTAATTAAATTATTTTTATAGGTGGACAAATCAAAAGAATCTGAAGCAATTACCAGTTGCAAAAACACTTAATACCATGCCAGAGCCCAATCCCAAGAAATAATGAGCATCTATCAATGCCACTTTGTGGAAGTGATAGCCACTCAGTAACTCAGAATAGAGTTTCCCAGTTGCAGCATGAGATTGCATTAAACTTATAACCCTTGTCAGAAAAAACACCTGTGTTTTTAATAACAACTATTTCTGGAAAATGTTTCTTCTAGAAAGTTACAGGATGAGTATTCTTGCATAAATAGCCAGGAATTAAGCTTGTAGCTTCTCAGCATAACAGCAGTTGGAAATTCTACTATGTAACATTTTATTTCATTGCTGTACAGATTAACCTGAGACTTCTCTCTTCTTTTCTCCCCTAGCAAAACTGTACAATCTAAGGTGGACTGCATTTTGGTAAGTAGAACTTTTAAGGTTTTCCAAATATTAAAAAGTGTTCTAAGACCACTATGGATGGCCAGTGGGAATTGGCAGTGATTATGGAGCCCTTCATCACTATGCACCATTGGAAAAATTAACCTGGGGTAGTGACATAAGGTAGTTACCATCTGTCAGCTGTTCAGTGGCCTATGAGAAGTGAATTTAGTGATTTCAGTTCAGTTCTCAGTGGACACGTACCCACATCACACAAGCCAGCCTCAAGATTGGTACAGATTGATGATGCCCTGGCTAGTAATATCACTGGATGATGCCCATACTGTCCAATAATTTCATCTGTAGGGCTAATCAATCAGGCTAGATCAGTGGTTTTCAAACTTTTTTCATTTGCGGACCCCTAAAAAATTTCAAATGGAGGTGTGGACCTCTTTGGAAATCTTAGCGGACTCTTTTGGAAATCTTAGACATAGTATGTGGACTGCCAGGGGTCTGTGGACCTCAGGTTGAAAACTACTGCATATTGCATGGCAGTAAGGGATATTTTGCACTGTTGCTTTCACAGGAGTTATTGAATGCACTGGGGGGGAAAATCAGTGTTTTACAGGGACATTTGCTATCTTTAGGCCTGATCCTGCTAGGAGCTGAGAGTCTTCTACTCCAATTAGCCTCATAAGGTACTATGTACTTCACAGGATCAAGCCCTTTTACCAGCAGGGATTGTACAGTTGCATTTGATTTATTACAATGGCTTGATTAATTTCAGTATGTCATCCTTTGCAAGGTCTTTGGGGCAGATACCATATTTTGATTGTGTGTTTGTATAGTGCTTAGCACAATAGGGGCTGGGACTCCTAAGTGCTATCACAATATACATTATGATTTTATAAGATTCTTGTACGTGTTTAAGCTTCAGGATAGACAAAGATTGCCTGTTCCAAGCTCTTTGAGCCCCAAAAGATAAAAGAGTCAAACTAATCCAAAAATTGCCATAGCAAGCAGGGTGGATTGATTTAAATCAAAGCAGTTTAAATCACTGATTTTACTAATGATTTAAATTAGCACACTGGAAACATTGTTTTAAATCATCACTTTTAATTGCATATTGCTATTATACTGTTTAGTTATTTTCCTAAAAAAGGGTTGATACTCACTGGTTAGTAACGATGAAAATGTGTTGCTTTCCAACTAAATACAGTCTTTGTGTTAAATTGGTGCTTCTTTTTGGTAACTAGGAGTATACACTATGTATCTTATACATATTTACGAAAGCAATTGTATAGCTTAATTTACATTTATCAGATGCTTAATGTTAACATTTTTTATTATGTTAGAAAATGGTGAATGATGCATTTCTTATTAACTAGCTGATACATTTTTTACTTGTGATTTGTGTAAAGTTCTATTTGGATGGAAATTGAAATGCAATTAAAAATGTACAAAAATAGCATTTAATATTTTTAATTATATAAACCTACCTTAAATGTGCTGGAAATATAAGAAAAATGTACCAAAACAAATTTTGCATTTAAAACTAACAGTAGTTTAATAATTTAGTGAATTGTAGTTAGTGAATTGAATCAATTATTTCTGGCTACTGTGTCCTTCAGGATTTTAGAACTAGAATTCTCAAACTCTCACACTTAGGGCTAGTCTACACTGGCAACGCTAAAGCGCTGCTGCGGCAGCGCTTTAATGTGCCTTGTGTGGTCGTGGCGCAGCGCTGGGAGCGAGCTCTCCCAGCGCTCTAAAATAACCACCTCCACAAGGGGTGTAGCTACCAGCGCTGGTGCACTGTCTACACTGGCGCTTTATAGCGCTGAAACTTGCTGCGCTCAGGGGGGTGTATTTTCACACCCGTGAGCGAGAAAGTTGCAGTGCTGTAAATTGCCAGTGTAGACAAGCCCTTAGTTTTGGAAGAAGAAAACAAACTTTCCTACTTTTTCAACTTCCAAATGATTTTTAACTTTGAGTTAGCTGAATAAACTGAAATGAAGAAAATAATCTCTGCACCTGCAGAAGGAGGCTACTGCTACCAACAGCAGGTTTAGCACTTCAACAGACTCTGATTCCAGGTGCTTAGTCAATGACATCCACCAGTTCAGGGTTTAGCTTTCTTTAAAACTTGGCAGCAAATATGTACTACTTAATATTTTGTGTATTTACTTTAAATTATTCTGATACAATAATTTTATGCCTTAACATAGGTTATCAGTTTCAAATGTATTTTAAATAGGTTTAGTTTTAATAAACAAATCTGTATTTAATTTAAATGAAAAAATTTAATTTAAATATATCGACTTTTATCCATCCTGATAGCAAACTAGTGGCTTCTCTGCACAGATATAGGCCATCCATAAATACGACCTTCTCCACCCTGTGTCACTCCTGAAAAAACTAATCCATACCCCTCCGTAAAGATTTCCACACCATTGTCAAGATCCCAAACATTCGCCCAGAGACCAGCTTTGCCGTATGCCTTATAGGCCTTGACTGCTTTGGGCAGAAGGGTGTATTTCTGAAGTTAGAGTCCTCAAAGTATGTCCTCTGATCAGCTCCCTCCCTTACATACACAAGGAGTTCTGCCTAGAATGCCTGCACTGACTGCAATTGAAGTAGTATTTCACGGGGAGAGCCATCTTAGGAAGACAGATGCCAAGTCATTTAGGGCTCTAAGGGTATGTATACACAGCAATAAAAAAAACCATGGCACCAAGTCTCAGAGCCAGGGTCAATTGACTCGGGCTGGCGGGGCTCAGGATGGTGGGGGTGGTAAAATTAGCAGTGTAGATGCTCGGGTTGAAGCCTGGGTTCCACCCGAGCCTGAATGTCTACTCTGCAATTTTTAGGCCCCAACCCCACCCCCAACGAGCCTGAGTCACCTGATCCGGGCTTGCCATGGCTGTGCCTTGGGTCTTTTATTGCTGTATAGACATACCCTAAATCAGAAACAGTTTATGCTCTAAATCAGCGTAAATCCCACTCCCTTAATACTGTGATCTTGCACCTATGTTTAAGCCAGGAAGCAACCATTTTTATAGATTTGAGGGCTAAAAAAGAGCATTATGATCACTTAGTCTGACCCCCTGCATAAGAGGCCATGGAATTTCACCCATAAATGAGTATTTAATAAAGTTATGGCTCAAGCTGCCCTCTAGCTACCTTCATATAGTATCTGTGTAGCCATATGGCTGAGCACGCTAGGAACATTTTAAAGGCGAGTTGTCAAAGGATAATTTGGATTTCCAAAGTATTTTTTCTGAGAATAAAGTTACCCTAATTTATGGTAGCTAAATGATATTTCTTTAAACTAAGTTGTATTTTTGTATCCATGTCCTTTCAAGGACCAGCTTCTGATCCAGTCTGGTCTACACTTAAAGGGATTCTTGGGTGCATTTGATATTCAGCCTGAGGATGAAAGTGGCTTCCTGCCTCCTTCTTCCTTAATGCCACCAATGGCAATTGCTCCCCGTATTGCCTCTAAAGTAGGTTGAAGATCATCCTTGAGCAGAGGACCCTGATAGGGGAGGTCAGTGGCACAAAGGCAAGTTGCAGCAGGTAGAAGCAAATATAATTAACTCTTTTCACAGTGCAATATAGGGCAGAACTGCTTAAGCAGCACCAGAAGAAGAATATAGGAGCAAATCGTTTGCATTCTGTGCATTTACAAGAAAATTGTGTTAGAGATGGAAACAGGTTTCATACTAATAGTCTTGGATTTAGGATTTTTAAGTGCAGATCATCGGCTTGTCTAGCAGCCACCAAGGGTAGTCAACATTTGGAGGGGGAATAAAAATCTGGGCAGCAAGTCTCAGGGCCCAAGTCTGTAGACTTGGACTCCGAAATCTGCTGTTGTGGGTTTTTTTGTTTGTTTTTTGTTTTTTTGCAGTGTGGATGTACACTAAATGTTTCCCTTCGCTTGTTGGATGGGCTTTTGGATTATTTTGGTCAGCTGGACAATTTAGCCATTTTCCTAGATAGAGCTTTAGCCTGTAATGCTAAAGAACAATCTCCACAACTTGATTTAGAATATCACAAGGGTTTCCTTATGCTCTGACCTTGCATTTCAAATGCTTCCCTGTCTGTCCTGCTAATGGTATCAGATCTCCATCCATAATTGAATGGTTCTCTCTTGGGTAATTTACCTTTGAGACAGGATACATACTTAATGTAGTGCAGTCAGTTATAAATACAGCATAGCATTGTTCAGAAGGCTGGAATCAGAATAGGTTACAGGAAATAGAAGTGGTGAATACACCAACCACAACACAGAAACTCAGCTAGGAGATCTGTTCTTGCTATTGAAAGCTGTAAACTGTTGTGTGAGAGTCTGAGAATTCCCAAGCCCAATGAAATTAGAACATCGTTGCCTTTTAAAAATCCTTATGGGAGAGTTTGTGTTAGGAACTTCTCTCTGCAAGCCCATTCTCCTCTCTACCCTCTGGGGGACAAAGGCTGTCTGCCGTATTTACTGATCTCACATTTCAGCTATGTCTGCACTGAGGAGCCTATGTCACCATAGCTATGTTTTTTCCACACCCCTCACTGACGTAGCTATGCCAATATCAGTTTAAAGTGTAGACCAGGGGTCGGCAACGTTCGGCACACGGCTCGCCAGCTGCTCATGGAGGCTGCATTACAGCCCTCCACTTCGGCACAGCAGTGCCGGCGGGGCACCCTAAGCCTACGGCGGTGGGAAGCCGCGGCCAGCACATCCCTCAGCCCACGCCGCTTCCCGCGGCCCCCATTGGCCCGGGACAGCGAACCGCGGCCAGTGGGGGCCGCGATCGGCCGAACCTGCCGCGTCAGCAGGTAAATAAAACTGGCCCGGCCCGCCAGGGTGCTTACCCTGGCGAGCCGCGTGCTGAACGTTGGCGACCCCTGGTGTAGACCAAGCCTTAGTATGAACAGATTTATATGATTATCAGCAACTGACTCCATGTGATCTGGACATTTAGACACTGCCAGATCTCTTCTCCCCTACACCCCCTCTACTTCCAAAGAACCAAGCTTCTGGGCAG